CAAAGAATTAACAATCTTGACTTCTCAGTCAGTTTAGATTCAAGAAGCTTTGGATCCAACAGAAAGTTTTCTGAGATGAGTGTTGGTAGAATCACGGGTGTCGCATCAGCCAGCCTTGCCATTTCAGGGTAACTCACATAAAATGGAGCTGGAATTATAACCTGCAAAATAAATATTGGTAAATATAATCTGTTTTTTCACATGTAAAAGAACTTATTATTCTAACAACCAGCAGCCCCTAGTTTGCAGCGATGAGACAATTATTCTGACAGATCAATTAAGCAAGGTAGCATGTTTTGTAAGCATAACTTAGTGGCATTTGAAAGTAGAATGTAGGCTGATGAAAGGAACTTCATAAGGAAAAGTTTATATGTCCTCCTTTTTCTTTCCTTTTTTTTTTTCTTCTTTATTTATTTATTCACTTTTGCTGAGGTGGGTGTCTCAGAGCACACTCAGTTCAGAACTAAACAATTTCACCCTACCTCATCTCCTGGGGAACACACTGCCATGACTGCTTGAAGGACACTCTGCTTGGCACCATTACTGACCACAATCTGATCAGGTGTATATGAGATCCCATTCTCCTCTACAACATTTTCAATGGGAACATTTATAAGAAAAGGGAACTAGGGATAAAAGATGAAAACTCCTGTCTCAAAAATTCAAGCACCAGTATTAAAATTTTCCCATTTGAGAAGTGTATGAAGAGCATTGGATTCACCTTGAAGCTTGTGACAAATTGCTGTTCGGAGTTCCAGAGTGCCTGCATTTGGAGTATACCTTGTGAAACCCTCACGAATTGCATTTATCCCAGCCTTGCTTTTCAGAAAAAATAAAAATAATAAATCAACCGAAAAAAAGTGAGAAGTAACAAAAATTCTGGCAACAGAACAGAAATGCATTAAACTTTGAATGGCAAAAGGAAAAAAGTACCTCTGCTATAGCAGCTGGAGTGTCAAAATCAGGTTCTCCAGCAGCCAACCGAATAACAGGGACACCAGC